GTGACTACCCAGATTGTTTTATTTGCATTGTCAAATATCTGGCTAGAAAGTAATTGCACTTTTCGTCCAGAGATTTGGTATCTTGAGCACAGAAGCAATGGCGGAGCTGTAATATTGGCTTACATTCTTTGTGATGGATGCTGGGCTTCTAATTTTCCCTGTGTCCAAATAACATCTATCTAAGGTCAACTTAACAGATGGTTGTCAAGGTCATACCATGTCAGGGAAGAGGATGGTTCTGTAGATGACCCCTAACTCTTAGTGAACATCTAGTATGTTACACTTGATAATTCAAAGAAATCACTATGATTATAACTGCCCAAACTGGCTAGAAACTGACAACCTTTGTCTGAAAAAGGAGGAGGAGATAGCAAGTAAATGTGTATTTTTTTCTGTGTAGAAAGTACCTTATTGGTCCAAACACCTGCACAGAACAAGAAGAGGCAATGGCATTGAGCCAAAGCAATCCAACATCACCTGGAGCGAAGGGGTGGTTGTGGCAAAGTTTTCTTGGTGGTAGGTAGGCTGAAGAGAATTAACATAGCAGAATCCATAATTAAAGACAAAGAACCAGGAAAAAAAAAGGCAACTGGAGAATGAACTTAAAATCTGTGGCCACCATGTAAAGCAGGACTGGAGTGAGGAGCTCAAAACACCCACCCCAATTACCAGACTTCTTCCTTGGGATATCCATGTAGCTTTGAGTTGTTCTTCAATATCAACTGAAGATTCCTTTTGTCCTTCAAACTAAAATTTACTTGACATTAAAAAATAATGTTTTTGCTCAATATGTAATTAGCTCTTAACCTTTTCAGAGCACCAGTGGGTCCCAGTTGCACCATTCCTGGCTTCTTTGAGCCTGGAACTCTTTGCCAAGCAACTCAATGGCCCCACTGGGTAGGGCTTTGGAGATTGTGCTGACAAACATTGAATGTGTCAAGATTTGGGCTGAGGGAGGGTGGGCTCTTTCTCATTGCTCAATTTTTCACCGTTGCTTTATCTACCTGACAGGAAGACTTGAACTACTGCCATTTCTAAGTTGCGCTTCTAAATATTGATGTAACGGTGAGATTCAAAGTGTCATAACACAGCTCACTGGTGCAAAGAAGATTGTCCAGGCCTCACAGAGAAGTCTGTACAATGTCCCATTGGGAGTGGAAAAGGAAACAGAAGATGGAAGAAGAAAAATAAAATCCAGGCATGTTTAGAAGACAAGCATGACACTTGGCTTAATCTTGTAGAGACAAATGAGTGCTTGCTAGGCCATTGTCTGAGGCTGAAGGGCACAAAGGAGGCGAGAGAATGGACACCAGTGACATGACTCCCTCAGCCCTTTATTGGCAGAAATGAGAGCACTGGGGCATTGCATCCTGGGTTGGCCAGCCTGAACCCAGAAAGACTTCAGTTGGGTATTCAGTTTTGAAGGACCATAAAGTGTCTAAGAAAAAAGAAAAACTTTTCATCTAATTTCTATGAAAACTCCAATCCAGATATTTGGCTAATCTCCATGAAGGAATGTTTTTTTCAGGCTCTTCTCATTGTTACTATTCAAGCAGTTTTACTAGGTCATATTAGCTGTTTAACTATGGCTCAGAAGAAGTGATGGGCCTTTCTTATATATAAGCTGTTCTGGGGAGCAACAAGACCTAGTATAAAGAAATTACCTTTGAGATTCATCACATATTCAGCGATGCATAAATTAAGATTCTCCCAGATGAAAGAAAACCAATGTTCTCTAAGACAACAGTAAGAGCACTAGAATATGACCACTGTCCCTTCGCTGCATTTCCTCCCGCCTTGCCCCCGCTGGCTTCTATGGCTATACCACTGACAGAGTGGCATGCAAACAAGGCATGTGGAAGTTGGGGGGGTAGCAATTGTGCAGCTGGTGCCTTTTAGAACATAAAGAGTTTAAGGTCAACAGGAAAGAGGAGAAAGCCATCCAGATATGATGAAAGGTGAGTATTGTGGCAATATTCATCTTGCTGGTCCTTAGGCCAATTACCAGATAACTGTAGTATCCCTTCTTAGATGTCTATGCATGCAATCTCTTGTATTCGTTGATAAATGCTTCTGAAAGTGACCTTAATGGGCAGCAAACTCTTCCGTTTTAGACCTCATCAAAACAGACCGAACTCTGAACTTGGCCCTTCACATAAGTCTCCTTAGATTGGCCTATACTTGCTTAGTCTAGCATCTGACTTCATGGCCATAACTGGGGTCTCTGTTTTAGATAAAGAAGTACCTCTGAACACTTGTGTTATTGTTTGAGCCACAGATGTCGCCCCATAAATACATACTTTGGGTGCCTGCTCACACGGTACTATTCGCAGATGCTGCGGGACCTTTAGGAGATAGTAGGTCTCTAGGAATGGGTCATAGGCCGTTGCTGTCTGGTCTCCGATTTTAGTCTTTCTGTCTGACCCCTGGTCCACTGTGATGTGAATGGCTGTCCTCTGCCACAGGCTCCAGAGACCGTAATGCTCTGCTCAAGTGCATGCAGCCAAGTGACTATTGGACTTTAACCTTTGAAACCAGGAGCAAACACAAACCCTTCCTCTCTTAACTGATTTCTGTCAGATATATGTGGTCACAGTGATGGCAAGCGTAACTGATTCTCCTTCCCTGATCTGAAGCATCTCATGTCAGTCTTGGGGACTGATGGGTATGCTCATAATCCCTGGTGTCACTCTGAATGTGTCCCTCTGAGGGGAAGAAACCTGTTAGTTCTTCTGCCCAGTGTGGACTTAATGCACTGGCCCTGGTGAGCGCCTACCTATGGATGCTCTGTGGCAGCTTTCAAGGCTGCACCGCAGCTTGGCAGTGGGGCTGCCTTCTGCAGTCTTCATAGTCCGTGTTCTGTGCTCATTTGAAAACCCCTGAGTACCCTGAGTTCTCTCCATGTGGCCACCTCCAGACAGCGTCCTCCGAACTCCTGTAGAATGCCCACGCCCTCCGTGCGGGCCATCTGTGACTCAGCTCCGGAGGATTACTCATTCTTCCCTGCACTCTGTCCCACGCCTGTCAGGGGCCCCTCTCCCATAATCCACTGTGCTTTCACAATTCTCTCAGCTGTTCCTTCCCCCAACCCAGGCCAGTGAGATCTCTGCTGCTTCTATCTACCGCCCACCAGGCTGCTTTTCATTTATCCCTTATTTCTTTTAGGCTTTTATCAATAGCTGGCTCCATAATGACAAAAATCAGTATTATAGTATGGGGGAAAAGTGCCTTAGCCATAAGTCTGAAAAACACATTTTTTACATCACTTGCTGAAAGAGTGAATGCATAGTAACAAAGTGTTTTGTCAGTATTGAATTCCCACATACTTTACGTGTGTGTGTGTGTGTGTGTGTGTGTGTGTGTGTGTGTGTGTGTGTG